GGTGTATTGAAGGCTGGAACAAAATGCTACACTATAGATTTTGTCATTTGCTGAGTAAATGAAATCTGATTTTCCACTGCATTAACTATTCATTCATTGGGATGCCTGTTTTTCACCGCGGTTCTAAGAATTATTCAGAGAAACTAACTTAGTGAGATAGCTTGTGACTTTGCAAAACATCAAGGTTCTGTGAGTCATGTACATTTTTTTTATCAAAATGAATGACTGATGGCCATATTTTTCTTCAAAATACCTTGAAACAAAACCTTTTTTTTTAATATTTGCGCTTGTCAATTCAGTTGGCTTGAGTGTACCATGTGTGCCACTGATATCACAAGAAGTACTACTAATTTTAATGAAACTTGGTACATTTGTACCATGCACAGTTACATGTATTAGTTTTTGGGTGAAAATGTTTTAATTAACCAAAGGTTTAAAGGTAGGTAGGGGCAGGTAATCTCACACATGTGTATATACATCTTTATGAATACATAATACCTTCACAGCACACAGGAGTTCTTTAACTGACTGGTGTAAATGTTTAAACAATTTGTATTGTTTTACTCAAATGGCAGCCATTTTGATTGACAAAAATCATTGTTTGCACAATTTTACTTTATTTCTCTATTTCACAAATATGTCAAAAATTGGTACAATTGTGTTTTTTCACATCAATGAAAGTTGATTTATGTCTCAATCCAATTGATTGGCAGCCATTTGAGTTTAACTGTTTTTGCACGATTGTACATTGTCCAACAATGTTAAACAGAGATGCATGTTGATTTGTGTCATCCAATAGCTTCAGCATGTCAGAGCTCTTTCTCAGATTTCATTGATTTTAAAATGTGTTAAAATGAATTGTTGTCAAAAACTTCTTGCTCCGAATGTTCTTAATGAAACCTATACATTTCCCTTTTACAGTATATGAAATCAAATTAGGAACACTAGAGGAAGCAAGCACGGCAGATATTGAATGGAAATTGAAACCATATATGAACACTGCAAAAAAAAGGAAACATTTAACTAAAGATTGACAGTACTATATTAAATATGAATTCTTTGTATTTATATATTGTTAAAAATAAATCTTTGTAAAGATGACAAAACATGTATGTATTTTGTTTGCGATTGTTTTAACCAGTTCTTGTTGTGATCACATGATTGAGAAAATGGTATGTTTAAACTCGTCCAGAAACTGCAGAGATACGTTAGATTTGGCATCATGTCAAGTCAATTTGTATTAAAAATTATTATTTCATCCTTTCCTAGTCTTGACAACATCAACGAGAGACCACCTGTGCCAACTTTATTATACTGTATCAAGTTCCCATGCAACTTTGAACATTGAATGAACTGTACCGGTAGATGCTGTGTTCTAAAAATCTAGTAGAAAATACAATCACAAAAACGTTGGAAATCAAGATCAATTTACGTGAATAAAGTGAAGTAACGTCTGAAGACTGAACGGGGCCTGGTTTTAGTGTTGAGCAGAGCGGATCAGCCTACCGACTTGTTTTAAATATTCCTGTATTTAACAAGACATGAATGTCACAGTCCCCGTTATTTGATTATAAAGTATCTGCAAACAGGTGAATGAATATGTACTCTATGTGGGTACAACTCATCTTGAAGTGATTTCCCATAATCTAGTTTTGTACTGACTAAAAACTTCCACTGACCCACTATTTGTCATACATATATACTTGCTCAAGAAAAGATTCATAAATCTGAGTGAACCTTGATGTACATGACTTCTTTGTTAATTAAGGTCTTAGTATATTACCAGGACCTGGGTCAAATAAAAGTTCAAATAACTGCATTGTTTCAATTTGCATATTTCTGGAAGGGTGTGGTCATTATTGCGAAAAGCACATCTACTCGTGCCAAGGTGTAATCATACCAAATATGAATAAAATCGACACCATGATGGTGGAGATAGCAGCAAATAACTGCATTGATCTAATTTGCATATTTTTGGGAGGGTGTGGTTATCACTGTCAGAAGCACATCTCCTCGTGTCAAGGTATAATCATACCAAATATGAATAAAATCGACATGGTGGTGGTAGAGATAGCAGCAAATAACTGCATTGAACTAATTTGCATATTTTGGAAGGGTGTGGTCATTATTGTCAAAAGCACATCTACTCGTGCCAAGGTGTAATCATACCAAATATGAATAAAATCGATAGGGTGGTGGTAGAGATAGCAGCAAATAGAAAAAATCATCAGATGAAAAATAGATATTGTAGAGGTAGACAAATCATCAGATGTAAAATAGATATTGTAGAGGTAGACAAATCATCAGATGTAAAATAGATATTGTAGAAGTAGACAAATCATCAGATGTAAAATAGATATTGTAGAGGTAGACAAATCATCAGATGGAAAATAGACATTGTAGAGGTGGACAAATCATCAGATGTAAAATAGATATTGTAGAGGTAGACAAATCGTCAGATGAAAATTAGACATTGTAGAGGTAGACAAATCGTCAGATGTAAAATAGACATTGTA